TCCGGATCAGGTCCAGACCGGATCAGGACCGGGTCCGGATCAGGTCCAGACCGGATCAGGACCGGGTCCGGATCAGGTCCAGACCGGATCAGGACCGGGTCTGGATCAGGTCCAGACCGGATCAGGACCGGGTCAGGACCGGGTCTGGATCAGGTCCAGACCCGGTCCTGATCCGGTCTGGACCTGATCCGGACCCGGTCCAGACCCAATCTGGACCCGGTCCTGATCCGGTCTGGAACTGATCCAGACCCGGTCCTGATCCGGTCCAGACCCAATCTGGACCTGGTCCTGATCCGGTCCAGACCCAATCTGGACCTGGTCCGGACCCGGTCAGCTCACCACATGGTTGTTTCTGGTTTCTTCAGCAGAAAGAGGAAGTCAGCCTGTCAGAAGGCAGCACAGTGGACCTGAGGAAGCCTGGCGAGGAAGAGGACGAGTACTCAGAGCTGGCCGAAGAGGCCATGGACCCGGACAACTGCTTCCCTGACGGTAGGAACCGGCCCGGTTCTGCAGAACACGCCGACCCGGTGGTGGAGCTCCAACTGGACGTAGTAAAGTTTTCACAGCCCTGAAACGTTTTTCCAGTCAGTCACGTTAACAAGCTGCTGTAGTTTCTCTACAGTCCAGTTCACATGAAACCAACAAGGTTCTTCATCCTCATGCATAAATGTGAGTTTATAGCAGATTTTATGCAAAACGCATCAAACTCTTCGGGTTTAGATCATCCTAACTCCCACCAGCAGGAGGCAGTGTTTCCTGTCAGACACAAGATCTCTAATTTCCTTCCAGTAACAGAACGCCACAAAGTCCGTGAGCAAAATAATCACAAAATCCTGACAGGACTGAGTTTTGTTTCCATCCAGTTGAAGTTTTAAAATGTCACAAAAATAAGAAAACAAATGAGTTAGATTTGTTCTCTTGACGGGTTTGGAGGGAATCAGTCGAGTTACACAAAGCAGAAATTCATCAGGTGTTGATGCTCCATAACAAACAGGAAGTCGAGGCTAACGACCTCGGACCGTCGTCCTCTGCTGGGACGAGACGATCGGAGCGAGGCGGCTGTTACCAACATGTTACAGACCAACACATGTTGGAGGAAGGAATCCAAGTGAATGGGAGAAAACCCAGACTGAGCAGTGAGGTGAGATTTGAATGAGCTAACATGGACCAAACATCTCAGAAAACCAGACGATCCTCCAGGCTGAGGTTTGGATTTCTGCCTCCATCCTTTTCAGAAGAAACGCTTATTTTTTAAATTTATTGTTTCCATCAGTGGTGGATAAAGTACTCAAGAAATGTACTTAAGTAAAAGTACAAATAAACAGACAAAAATGTACTCAAGTAAAAC